CTGCCTGCCTGCCTGCCTGCCTGCCTGCCTGCCTGCCCGCCTGCCTGCCTGTCTGTCTGCCTGCCTGTCTGCCTGCCCGCCTCCTTGCCTGTCTGTCTGCCTATCTGCCTATCTACCTGGCTGACTGCCTGTCTGCGTGCCTGCCTGCCTGCCTGTTTGCCTGCCTGCCTGCCTGCCTGCCTGCCTGCCTGCCTGCCTGCCTGCCTGCCTGCCTGTCATCACTCGCTAAGCTCGTTGTGTCCCTCGCTGTCACCATCATCCTAGCTCTCTCCACCTGTCAGCCGTCGTACTGTCAATAATTCATGATAGGTTGATGATCATAATCTCTGTTTCACTCACTCATGGCTCTGATTGACGCGCTAACAAACAATAGCAGCTCAGTAAGCATGGGTGCTGCTGCATGTCGGCACAGCCAGGCTGTTTCTCCTGCTACCGCTACCCCCTGACTCCCACGCCTGCACTGTGCAGTTCCTTACCCACAAAACTCACACATTGTTAATGTTTGTCTGCCCTGCCTGCCTTTCCACTTTCCCCCTCTCATTTTTCTTTCTTTCTTTCTTTCTCTCTCTCGCTCTCTCTCTTTCACTCTTTCCCTCACTTATTGTCTCTCTGTCTCAGTCTGCTCATCCACGCATCAATCACTAATACAGCTACCCTCGTTCCCTGTCCCTGCCCTCTCCTTCTCCACTGTCTACCTCCAATTCCCGATGCAGCTCTCCACTCTATCACAGCCGACCTTCCTTTACCATTCGATCTTTACCAGCCCCCTACCCCGTTACCTTTACCCAAAACCCCCACACTTTTCTAGCCCCTCCCCTCCCCGACTACCTTCACCCCTTCACCTTCTCTCTCAACCCCATCACCTTTACCGCAGATCCGTCACCCGCCCCATCCTCTGCCGTTACCATATGTCAGGCAGTTGTTGTTGCTGCTGCTGCTGCTGCTGCTGCTGCTGCTGCTGCTGCTGCTGCTGCTGCTGCTGCGACTGCTGCTACTGCTTCTGCTGTTGCTGCTGCTGCTACTACTAGTGCTGCTACTGCTGCTGCTGCTGCTGCTGCTGCTACTGCTGCTGCTGCTACTACTACTACTACTACTGCTGCTGCTGCTGCTGCTGCTGTCGCTGCTGCTGCTGTGCTGCTGCTGCTGGGTTGCTCGCGCAGTGTCAGGCTGACCAGCCTCACCTGATCTAAATAACTAATGATTATTTCATATGTCATCATGTGTCATACACACCTCTCTCTCCCCATATCTCTTTCTCTCTCTCTCTGGCTCTCTCGCTATCTCTCTGTCTCGGTCTCTCCTTTTCTCTCTCTCTCTCTCTCTCTCTCTCTCTCTCTCTCTCTCTCTCATACACACCTCTCTCTCTCGATATCTCTGGCTCTTTCGCTGTCTCTCTGTCTCTGTCTCTCCATTTCTCTCTTTCAGTTTCTTTCTCTTTCTCTCTCTCTCTCTCTCTCTCTCTCTCTCTTCTTCTTTCTTCTTCTCTGTTTCTCGCTCTCTTTCTCTCTATCGCTATTTCTTTCTCCCCCTCCCTCTCTCCCCTCTCTTTCTCCCTCTCCCTCTCTCTTCCACTCTATCTCTCCGCCACATCATTTAGCAGTAGCAGCAGCAGCAGCAGCAGCAGCAGCAGCAGCAGCAGCAGCAGCAGCAGCAGCAGCAGCAGCAGTATCAGCAGCCAGGCGAGCGGACAGGGTTTAGTGTTGACAAATTAATTAAACCCGGATTGTATAATTGTCTTCGATTGCCTCAATGTTCACTTCAACGTTTTGATTCGAGAGAAATATTTTAATTAAATTAAAATGCGTGCGTCGCGTGTTTATTATGGTGAGGAGGATGATGATGATGATGATGATGATGATGATGATGATGATGATGATGATGATGATGATAATGATGATGATGATGA